CCATTTATCAGTAAAATACGGAAAAGTGAAAATAAATATGAAGCTTTGACAAAGCAATAGGTGTTTAAAAAAACTTAAGCCACATACAGAACCTAAATGTTGACGACGACGACGACGGAATCAACGATCGCTTTGTCTCACTTTTGCGACATTAATGTCACAGGCCCGACAGAAAAGAGACATACTTGTCATAATACGGTCTTCCAACACCACAAAAGTGTCCATAGTGCAACGATAAACGTGGCATTAGTGGGACGATTCTGCATATGTAGAACTGATTTATCCCACTTATGTGATGTCTTTATGAAGCTATCTAGCTAAATGTTAACCTTTGTTTGTGTGTTTTTTCAGAGGATTCTGTTGTCCGTTTTACTGTGCATTAAAACCTCGCAAGGCAAAAAGGGTCATGAGTAATATGAGGTAAAAGGTTTTTGTGGTTTGGTCTATTTCCCAGACTTTTAAAGAAATAGGTCAATTATAAACTGTGTATGGAACGATCGTCTGTCTGGAAGGGTTTAGGTATAGAACCACTAATTCAGGCCCGGTCGGAAAGAACATACAAGAAAGTAGTACATATTTTAAACAAAATAGTTCCTACGCATAGCTGTATCTTTGTCAATAATGGGAATATTTGGGTTGTTTTAGTATCAAATGAAAGCTTTGGGACTTGGGATCACTGTAGAACCCTAGTTGAAAGTTTTATTTGAATAATAAAGAAGTATATAAAATTTTGATAGGAGGGCTCATTTGGCCTGTTGTTCAGATCAGAAGTTCCTGTTTCTGTACTATCAAACTTCCGGGAACCAGTACGCTCTAATATGCAATTAAAGGTATGTTGATTTTTTCAGCACAAGTCAGCATAAGGTACAGTTTTGACATGAAATAACTGCCACTTAATTTGAACTTAAGACAAAGTAGCCATTTATGCTTGAAATTGCAGAATATAACATAGAAAGCAATGGGGCTATGAATTAGTGGTTTTATACCTATTACTGACAGGCATGTTAAATTCTATTTTTAGAAATCATACCCTTTACAGTGAAAATTGGTCACATTTGTTGTCAGAAATCATGTTACATTATTTGTTTTATGTAACAATTATGTTAGTGTCAAATTACAGCCCTAAAATTGCTACAATAAGGTATTTTAGCCTTTTTTGGTCATTTAGCATGCACACAGTTAAGGTTTTACCTGAAATTTAAATTTTTGGATTATCTAACACTGAAACCAATGAAACTTGTATATTATGACTAGTTTATAGTATAAATATTGTTTTTGGTCAAATTATCTAGTGAGTGTTCATGTTTTATTGTGTTTCTTGGCGAGTTATTTATTTCAAGGAAAATTGGTGTATACTTATATAGGAATTCCAAAATCTCACTTGAAATGCATTTTATAACCATTTTAGCAAGTTGTCTATCTTGGAGATACATGAATTGCTCTTGTTGATCCATGTTTATACATAAAAGTATGTTTTTTTTATCAAATCACTATCCTTTTCCAACATGTAGAAAAAAGGGGGGATAAAATTATCAATTATATTTTATGTTTGGACCACTGTATTTATATTCAAGGAAGAATCCCTGATAAAAATAAGACATATAGGTAAGAACACTGTTATTTGAGTAGATATTAACAAATCAGAACTGGTAAAAATTGAAAAAGTGTCATATCTGTCACTATTAGTATCCATATGTACTTTTCTTTGTTTAACGCATATGTTACTACCAGTCCAATTTGAGCTTGAATTCAGTGATATATTGTTTTGACAAAAGCTTTATGTGTTTTTCTATGCTAGAAATAGATCATAGAAGGAAATTAAGTCAAGCAGAAGTCAATATAACAAGTTTGGTGCTGTTATAGGTATAGAACCACTAATTCAGGCCCGGTCGGAAAGAACATACAAGAAAGTAGTACATATTTTAAACAAAATAGTTCCTACGCATAGCTGTATCTTTGTCAATAATGGGAATATTTGGGTTGTTTTAGTATCAAATGAAAGCTTTGGGACTTGGGATCACTGTAGAACCCTAGTTGAAAGTTTTATTTGAATAATAAAGAAGTATATAAAATTTTGATAGGAGGGCTCATTTGGCCTGTTGTTCAGATCAGAAGTTCCTGTTTCTGTACTATCAAACTTCCGGGAACCAGTACGCTCTAATATGCAATTAAAGGTATGTTGATTTTTTCAGCACAAGTCAGCATAAGGTACAGTTTTGACATGAAATAACTGCCACTTAATTTGAACTTAAGACAAAGTAGCCATTTATGCTTGAAATTGCAGAATATAACATAGAAAGCAATGGGGCTATGAATTAGTGGTTTTATACCTTTATATGGCCACGACCTATGTTATTAACTTTTATTATGTTTTGGACATAGCGTCTTTAACTAACCTTGGTCACAATCATCCTTGGGGTATCTTGTTTAAAATAGTGTTTCTAACTAGCTTTTGTCGCTATCTTAGGTCTGTTTTTGTGCATCTCCTTTGTTTGTGGACTCTATCCAACGTTGTAGACTAGAATACTATTCATGACAAACATCTAATTTGTTGAACTTGTATTGCTGCTTTCATGTTGACAGGAGTTTTTGTCCAAAATACAATGAGTTAAAAATATGAGGTCGTGGTCATGTGAACCCTACCATACACCATATATATAAGTGACTAATTGCTTAAAAAGTCTGAGAAATAGACCAAACCACAAAAACTAAACATTGTCCAATGAACCATGAAATTGAGGTCAAGGTCAAATGAAATCTGAGTCAGATATATACACCTAACAATCATTCCGTTCGCCAAATAAAGTTTACATAATGCTGAAAGTATCTGCAATATGGACTTGACCACATAACTTGAACCTTGATCACTGATCCATGACATGAGGTCGATGTCAGATGAACCCTACCTGATGGACATAAGAGAGGCGAAAAATACCAAAGGGATATTCAAACTCATAAGTCGAAAACAAACTGATAATTTAATCTATGAATGTTCTAATTTCACTTGGTCACGTGTCTATTTTCAGTGAACTATGAAAAATGGGTCAAAACCAGAATTTGTTAATTAATCTATAAAATTCTCATTATAATGAACAATTGCACTGAGTTTCAAGGTAGAGTGACTACAACTTGATTGTAAACCAAAAAATTAAAGTACAAGGCACTAACACGATTCCATAATGCCCCTACCACTATAGAGAGAGACAAAAAATAGGTGGGGGAGAAAAAGATTCTAAAAGTGGGAAGTGGGAGAAGGGTAACCTCTGTCCACCCCCTCATAGATTTTGGTTATCAGGTTAAGGGTATTTTATTCGAACATGTAGTGCATTCAGGCATGGTACTAAGAACATGGACACCATACGGATGCCTAAATCTACTATAGAGAATTAAATGAGTTCAAAATGTTAACCTTTTTTCCAAATCTTTTTTCTACTTTACAAATAAATAAGAATATGTGGTATGATTGCCAATGAGACAACTCTCCACAAGAGATCAAATGACACAGAAATTAACAACTATAGGTCACCATACGGCATTCAACAATAAGCAAAGCCCATACCACAGAGTCAGCAATAAAAGGCCCTGAAATGACAAATGTAAAACAATTCAAACAAAAAAATTAACAGCCTGATTCATGTACAAAATAATGAACGAAAAACAAACATGATACACAGAAACAAATGACAAACACTGAATTACAGGCTCCTGACTTGGGACAAGCACCCAACCCTCCCCTGTGTAAAGACGTCATTAATTTAGTCAAGAGAAAAACATGATCTTGTGCAATACCAAGATACTGGTATCGACACATTACTGTAAATTCAGACATTATTGAGAAAAATACGACAGGGTTATAATCACAATAATTTAAACTCGCATTTTAATTTATTTTCTATGAATTTAACAGTATTTTTCTCAATATCGCAAAAATCAAAATGGCATTTACATAACAAAATCGCAATAATAAATGCACGCAATAATTTCTGAATTTAGCAATGCGATTCACACTCAGTAAAATTCATATTCGGGAATAGGTCACGTTCAGACGTGGAAAACATGTCCTTAGTCAGTTTAGACACAGACACATCATATGGATCAACCAATTCGTGATGGTGTCCGTAAAATTTACGGAGTGTCATTTTTAATCTTTCCTCCTCATAACTTTGTTGGAGCAGTTTCTGCATAAGGAGCACACTCCTGTATATGAAGTTCATATAGTGTGAACATGCACGTGCATAACATATCAACTGAAATATTCTTGATTTCTTGATTTTGAAAAACAAAGCAACATTCTGTGACATGTTCTACACACTATTTTAATTGGTATATTACTTCCGACTTAACTAGACATCCAAATACCAACCACAACTTTGGAACAAATTTATTTTCAACATTAAAATAATACATATGGTAAAACAATGGACGATTTTTCTTACTCATAATCATAAAATGTAAAACACACTATAATACATCCTGAACTTAATATAACACCACTACCGTAGATATCATTTGTAAAATAGCACTAAAACAAGTGGATTGTTGTCTTCCATGCCTTGGATTTCAAATAAATATGATTCTATAAAATTATTATTATCCTAACTCATTCATCCCTTCATAAATAACTGAACCATATTATGTTAATCCCATAAAAATGATTTTAAAACACCACATACTAAGGGGCAGAGATAACCTCTCTCCTCTGAACAAATTAGTTTAATTTTTATTATAAAAAACCCCAATCAAATGACACAATGCACAGAATTTTAGGCAAGAGATTTTGTCTCTCTTCTTAGCAAATCTGAACAAAAAGCTGGTCATAGTCTCATACCTTATTCACGACTGAAAATATGTGTTTTGTATTGCCAACCCTGCATCCATTTAAATCTAACATGAATCCTGATAAAGAATAATCAATCAATTGGAAAATAATCAAACTGATAATACCTATGATTATATACAAAAATCTATCATCCATACATTGTATCCTTGCATCTGTACCCTTTAAAAGATATAACCCTAAACAAACTATTTATAATAACAAAACATATCAGCACTCATCATATCAAGTACAACTCATGCATGTCACAAAAAGGCAATACTTCTACATAACAGTTTTTTGCACAGTTGAGTATCTATTGGTATAATTAAGAGATTGTCACAAGTAGTATCTACCCACTATACTTATGTTGATGAGAACTTTAATAGACCATTTGATATTAACATGTAATTCATTATTGCACTATTGTTCTGACTAGACATTTTTTCATTTAATACATATGTGGACATGTGGTATGCAAGTTCTCTTATAATTAACTACGGAATAAAATGGAGAATGGAAACGGGGAATGTGTCAAAGAGACAACAACTATTCTTGACCTTGAATCATTCTTTGCTCCATCAGACTAAATTTAATATGAGTATTGAATTATTTTAAATTCATCACATAATTGCTACATATTTGAGTTTATAGATGAGCTACACAAGCAAATGAATTGATAAGCTGCCAAAATTAAAACAAAAATAAAATTAGTGTATCTTTGTTTGTTTTTCAAATATTTAAGCTGCCTCAAAACAGTCATCGACCATCCTAATGAATTTGCAACAAGTGTGGCATTCCAGGGTTTATGAGGACAAACCTAAACATCACATTTGTTTCTTACCTCTGAGTTATATATTTTATATGTACACCATCTGCCTTTCATATTTTAGATTCTAAGTGAAAATTTGATAAAGCATTAGCCATGATAAAACAATAAAATGATACAAAAAGCACTATATCAACAGGTATATCAAACCAGTAATGTTCAAGTCTAATTTTCTCTTTTTAGAATTGTCTTAATATACAGTACATCAATTTTGTTACCATAAACAAACTTCATCTTAGAGCAAGTAAAATCATATTTATCAACCCTTTACCTTTAAAATAATGCACAATGTATTAACACACCAATAAAAGCATTCAGTAACCTTGTACCATTAATCAATAGCACATTTCCTTTACACAAACAAAAAAGAGCACAGTCAGTGGTCAGCACCTTTGAACTAAGCACCATTTCTTTACAAGTTTTTCACAACTAATAAATCGTTACCCAAGGAATTCCATGTTCCATAATAAGTCTTGTTAAAAGGGTCTAGGATCCAACTCTGAATTTTCAAGCTGAAATTGAAAATCTATATTCATAGAATAGCAATAGTTAAATTTAGCAAATTTAAAACAAAGGTTGTGAAGCTGTGATATTTTTGTTGAAAAGTCAGAAATTAAATGATTTAATTCTTTTGATTGGTTTGTTAGATGAAAACTCCTTTGCATGCAAACTTCTATTATCCTGGAAATATGAGTTGCTGTTACAATGGATCACTGTTTTATTTCATGATTTCATAATTATTTGGGGACTTACCATATGGTGCAACCATTTGATCATTGTTACCCAAGACTACCCCAAGTCCACATCTAGCTTTTGGAGGGGTTCATGTTACTCAATCATTTTTGAGAGGATTTTTTGTAGATTGTTGATTTCCTTTTTGTAATTTTTAAAAGACCTGATTCTTATCTGGTTCATGTTTTACACCAATCATTTTTGGATAGTGTTTTGTGGATTGTTGTTTGCCTTTTTGTAATTTTAAAAAGAAATTATACTTCTTTTTTCGGTGGGGTTCATGTTGCTCAATCTTTACATTTAGTTCTGTTTCAGTATACCTCTCCTTTTTCTGCAATTATCGGATGATGTATTAGGTATTAATTTTTAGTTTTAACTAATAAATTAATAGATCATATTGTATCTTCTACCCATTTTTTTCAGACTCCTATTAAAGTTAAGCTATTGTTTGTTATTCAATGTTTAAGATGTTAACCAATTATGTTTTGGTGCACATTTTTTTTAACATGAGTGGATTAGATTCTAATATGAGCAAACCGTTGACAGATATCTCAATAACAATCACACTTTTTTTTGTGCTTTAGATCTAATATCTACTTACCAGAGAACTAGGTTGTTTCCTCAATCCACTTAGCATGTCTTGTACAGCTTGAACCTGATCTTTCTTCCTCTGGAGGTCATATGGAGTTTTACTATAGGATGGAATCTCAGACTGGTTACTTCCTGTTCCCATCATGCTCCTCTGAGATTCTACAGGCCGTGGGATATACTTTACAGGATCCTTAATTAAGGTATGGTTTTGATTACTATGTACTGCTGCCGTAGGAATGGTGCTATTGTTGCCTTTTATATTATTAACATATCTGGCATTGCTGTTGGTATCACTATGTTTATTACTAACTGAGACAGGTGACTCAACTTCTAAATTTGGCAAAGGAGGTTGGTATTGCTGACACTTTTCCTTTTCACTACTTAAATTACTCTGACCATCCACATTTGGCATATTTTGCCTTAGAAGAGTTGTTGCATCAACTTGAGGTACATTCATTCCCATCATTCCCCCTGTTGCCATAGCAATATTCATGGCCGCCATCTGTTGCTGTTGTAGAGAATATGCCAGTATTGGAGAAGCAGACATTAGAGGATTTTGTAACATTGGTAATAAGCCTGGTAAAAGTGGCATATTGGCTAATGGCATCATTCCCGTAGCATTGGTATTTCCACTAGATAAAAACTGCAAATAAGCATGAGCAAGATGTGGAGGAAGTCCTAAAGGAAGGTTCATTGAGGCAGAGGACATGTTTAAACCTGCCATTAATCCTGACAAATCCTGTTGAGAACTAGGTGGTAATTCCTTATTCGTAGATGAATGTTGTTTTATTGTTGTTTCTTCACATTTAGGAGAAGGATGGTTTTCATGTTTGACACTGCTGGAAACTGGAGGACAAATCTTTGAATTCTGTTTGTGTGGAATATGAGGCAAGCGAGGTAACCGACAGGATGGTAACTCAACGTCTTCTTCCGAACTTGTTGACAAGTTTTTAAGAACAGGAAGCCTGTGATCAAAATTTTCATCTATATTTTGTCCTGGAATTTTTGTTTTAGAAATTTCATCATTACGTACTCGTTCATTTTTCAACTCAACATTTTGCATCATTGGTTTGGAATTAGTTTGTGTAACAACAGTAAGCAGATCTTCCTCCCAATTTTCTCCACTGGTTCCCTGTTTGATTGTTTTTTCAGTACAATTGGACATTATGTTTCTTTGTTTGATCACAGTCTTAGCGTCACAACTTGGAATGCTTACTGGTTTCTTGTTCAACAAGGAAAATTCTTGTTTCTCAAATGGACCAGATTTTTCAAGTTCTACGATTTTTTTTGTTTCTTGCAAAGATGAATGAACATTTTCCTTAATAACTACTTCGTCCCAATTTTCAGAGTAAGTTCGTTGTTTCTCAAGTGAACTCTGAACAATTAATTGTGACTTCTGAATATCTGAGTGTTTACTCATTGACAGTTGCTGAGTTTTAACTTCAGATTTCTCAAATGATGTGTCAGGGCAACAGACATTTTGCTTTTTATTGTCAAATTGTGTTAAATTTTTAACATCAGTATTACCTCCAATATTCATATGATTTTGTGGAATTCGTGGAATATCATCTGCTATTCTAATACTACTATTTTCTGAGGGAACAGATTTATTATTAACAGATCCAATGCTCCAATGTTCCTCTGATGCATGATTGCCATTGTTTGCTAATCCACTGCAGTTTTCAGATCTGGCATCCATTGTTGACCCTCTGCTCCATTGCTTTTCCCATGTCTGGTTGCTGTTATTTGTACAGTTTTCTGTCTTATGTACTGGTCTGATAGATCCACAGCTCCAGTTTTCTGGTGAAGCTTGTTTTATATCATCCACAAAGCCTGAAACCCAATTTTCATTAAGGGGTTTTGTTACGTTTTTTATAAATCCACTTCTAGAGTCTTCTGATGTATACATGTTATGATTTAGATCTAATTTTGTCCTTTGCTGTCCCATGGATTCTGGTTTACTGACTGATTTCATGGGTTTCTGTTTGTATCTTTGTTGTCTAGGGACTACATCTGTTCCTTTCTTATCATACAATAACTGATATTTTTCTGTAACATTGGCATCATAGTCGCCTTTATGACCTACAGAATTTGACCTTATGCCCCATTTGTCATCAGTAACTAAATCCCAATCGTCCTCTCCCTTTTGATGAACTTCATTAGATGCATTTATTGTCCATGCATTTTTTGGTGACTGATCTCTGACAGTTGCATCAATACCTACTGTGGGTAATATATGTGAAAGTGTTTGTTGAACAAGATGACCTCCTGATCCATTTGAAGGTGAAATAACAGGTGACCTTGGTTTTGGACTGCATGATTTCCTTGAAATACTATCATCTGTATTGTTGTTAGTTTGCTGTTTAACATTTTTATTCCATTTAACATATTTTTCAATAGTTGTAGGTATTTTGGGTGATATGTCCAGCTCCTGAATCTCTTCTGTCCAATCCTCATCATAATTTACTGGTTTTTCTGTTGGTATTTTGATTTTCAGATTTGGTCGTAAGTTGTTGTAGTTAGTTTCCAATATTTTAATCTCTTTTTCTGGTGGATCTGTATATCTGACTTCCTGTTTCATGACTTCACTTGATAAATTTGAGGTAACAACTGATGTCCATTTGCTGCTGTGTGGTTTTAAAGGCAAAATATTTTCAGGCTTTGATGTACTGAAAGTAGCGAGAAGAGAGTAAGGAGATTATGAATATTTAAAAAGAAATACTGTAAATTTAGAAGTTATTGCATGCATACTTTATTGCGATTTTTAAAGAATGGACTAAAATGCGAGATTAGTTATTGCAATTTTAGGAAAATATGCATACAGATTTATATATCAAATAACAGAATTTGAGTTTTTATTATTGCAATACTCATCCTGTCACATTATTCGCAATAATAAAAACCTCGCAATAATTTCTAAATTTGCAGTAATGTTTGTATCATATTTATAAAATATAAATATAATTAAATAGACCTTTTTTTTTTTAAAAAGTTGCAGCTTTTATTTAGCTGAACATCATAGAAAAGTTATGACACTAATATAATCTAGAAAATATGCGAGCAGATCTAATAATATAAGCCCCTTGTTCTGTTTATTGTTTCAGAAATAAGGTTATCTGTCAAATGCCTTGTTAATGCTAACCTAGATCACTCTTATTTGATAACATCTTTGTATTTAGAAATATACAAACATGTCTCATGACATCAATTGATAACCAGGACATTATATAAATAACACATAGCTGAGAGGGTGATAGAGCAGATTGTTACCCCGCGAAAAAATTGTTAATCGAGGCGAAGCCAAGGTTGACAATGTTTTTCAAGGGGTAACAATTTGCTATATCACCCTCTCAGCTATGTGTCATTTAATTCATCATTCTGAATGTCCTGTCATTATTGTCTTTTGAGTTTTAAAATTAAAGTTCTTTACTATGATGCCAAGTACATAACAGCATTACAGTTTTTAGAAAAACAACAAAACTGAAGCAAGATGTATTTTTCATTTTGACAGTCTATGAAAAGGTTCTGAGGCCAAAACATGGAACTTAAGCATTGTCTTTAAAATTATTGATGTAAATTCAATTCAATGTTTTTCAAATTACCGATTTTGATTGGTCTACACGAGAGGGTGACATTCGAAAAATTCTCTCCAGCTGAGCAATGGGATAGAGTTAATTATCTCCCTCGTATTAGCCAATCAAAATCGTGCATTTTAACGTGAAGTATAATAATACTTTGTAACCATGACTAGAAAGAAAACCAACTAATGTTCTGATAGGACCACATGATTCAGGAAAAGCACAAATTCAGTTTGTGAAAGTTTTGATGATGATGGATGGATGGCAGTTTAAGGTCCAGTGGCAAATCAAGGGCATTTCCAGGACGAAAAAATGATAATGTAACATGAACATTAACCCAACTTGACATATTTTCATGGGAGTTTTTCAATTGCACTATTATGCTTCATTCTTTATGTATAAAAATAAGATGTGGAATGATTGCCAATGAAACAATTTTTTGCCTATAACTCAATGGTTGTTTTTGTTTGCAGTCTTTTATACTTGTTTTCTCGTTTATTGTTCTGGCATAAATCAGGTTATCTGTTTTTTCGTTTTAATTGTCTAAAAATGGTAAATATCTAATCCTTAACTTTAAAAAAAATAATTTACTGTTGTTCAGTAATGAAGGCATCTTCATGAGAGACGTATTGAAACTCACAGGATCTCCACAGGATGTTTGTTATGTTAGAAATAATACAGTGGCTATGTCTTCAGGATCAACAAACAAGACAGCACTGGTGGATGTAGAAAACTAGAGGCTCTGAAGAGCCTGTGTTGCTCACCTTGGTCTATATGTGTATTCAACAAAGGACACTCTCCAACATTGTAGATGAGAACAGAATTGATGACAAAAATCTCCGTTTTGTTCATCTTAGATTGCTGATCATTATGTCTGTTTAGTTTCTCTCTATCTTCTTTAGTTTTTGCTCAAAACACAAAAGAGGGTAAAAAAAAACTCATTTAAGGGCAATCACTCCAATAAAGAGTGACAGTCTAATAACTTTATCGGCAAAATTTGACTTGTTAGAAATCTTGCCTTGCTGATCATTTTTGTGATTTAAAGTGTCTATTTATCTATTATAATTTTTATCATATAAGGCAAAACTCAAATAAATGGTGACAATCGTAATAAAAGGGCAATAACTCCAATAAGGAGTTGTCAGACGATTTCCTCCATATTGTCTAAATTGTAGATCTTGTCTGCTGATCATTTTTGCTTATTTAAATTTCTATCTATCTATTATAATTTTTAAGCTATAAGGTAAAAACGCAAAAAATTGGTAAAAATCGTCATCGAAGGGTATTAACTCTAATACGGAGTTGATCGACGATTTCGACCATGAGACTTGTTTGTAGAACTTGTTTTGCTGTTCATTTTTGCAATTTAAAGCTTCTCCCTATCTATTATAGTTTTCAAGATAATAGGCAAAAATTCCATCTCTTAAAGTCAGGGTTCCACGGAACCCAGTGTCTTGCCTACTTTTGCTGTTGTCTATGTTTTCAGTGTGATAGGGGAATGCACAAAATAGATTTACAGTTTATGAATCTAATAAATGTTTTAAAAACTTTAACTGCAGACTGTATGTAATGTTAACTGGAAGAAAAACTAAGTCCATTTATAAGTAATATACGGAAAAACAGGAAATAAATTTTTACAAAAATTTCCTTCTAGATACTATCTTTTGATCATAAACAAGCTTCTGTTTAAGTTTGGTACAAATCCAGGATAGTTTAAGAAAGTTATTAAAATTTTTAAAACTTTAACCACAGAGTGAATGTAATGTTAACTGGCAGAAAAACTAAGTCCATTTATAAGTAAAATTTGGATAAATAGGATTTTTTTTTTTACAAAATTTACTTCTGGATACTATCTTATGATCATAAACAAGCTTCTGTCCAAGTTTGGTAGAAATCCAGGATAGTTTAAGAAAGTTATCAAAATTTCAAAAACTTTAACCACAGAGTGAATATTTGTGAACGCTGCTGCCGCTGACGGAATGTAGGATCGCTGTCTCGCTTTTGCGACAAAGGTAGCAGGCTCGACAAAAATGAAAAAAAAATGGTAAAATTTGTCATTTAAGGGCAATAACTCCCATGAGAAGTCAGCTGACAGTTTTGTAGTAAGAACAATTGGTAGAGCTCAACATTCTGAGCATTTATGCCCTTGTCAGATTTTCTCTATTTATAAAGGTTTTCAAAATAAGACAAAATTTGCATTTTACCCCCTATGTTCTATTTTAAGCCATGTCCGCCATCTTGGTAGGCAGGCAGGGTCATCGGACACATTTTTTAAAACTAGATACCCCAATGATGATTGTGGCCAAGTTTGAATAAATTTGGCCCAGTAGTTTCAGAGGAGAAGATTTTTGTAAAAGTTAACGACGACGTATGCCAAGTGATGAGAAAAGCTCACTTGGCCCTTTGGGCAAGGTGAGCTAAAAAAGTAATTATCAAAACAATGAAAATTTGTCAAAAATGTAATGGTGTATCAAGTGATGGTCAAATATTAGTCATCAGTAGTAAGCATGAAAGTACCATAGTGAATCTGAGTGATGAGTCTTGAACAATCTTAGGAGTTATTGAGACTAGTATATCATTATTCAAACGAAATATCTATTGTACCACAAACCATGAAAAAGAAGTCCACTGCTACAAAAGTAATCAGAGCTTCTGTGGACATTTCAGTCACATGACATTACCAATCCAGAAGGACTTGCTTTAGACATGAATGGATTTGTTTATGTTGCTTCTGATGGAAACAACATTTTTGTAGTAGTATCACCAGATGGTAAAACCAGTAAGACAATACTATCAAAGGCTGATGGGATCAAAAATCCATGGGCAATAGATGTCAACATAGAATCAAAGTGCTGGATAGCACCTGTGGAAAGTTTGCAACGGTAGATGTGTAATATTTCAAATAGGTTGTAAATGTGTAGATTGGGTGTTTAACTTTTTTTCCGACATTAAAAAAAAATTACTTAATACAACAAATAATTGTAACATGATGCTGTTACGAAGTCTCCAAAACAAAGCTCCCATAATAAGTCATTCCCAGGAAGGGGGTGGGAGTGACCCCAGGGAATTCACCTTTTATTTCATTTGATTTGTTTTATTGTCCCATACAAGAATATATATGGTTTCGGGGTGGGGATCTTGACCGCTTAAAAGTTCTCAAAACAGGATGGGGTGGGGGTGACACCAAGGGACACCCCCTATATTTCATTTGATTTGTTTTATTGTCCCATACAAGAATATATATGGTTTAGGGGTGGGGATCTCGACCGTTTACAAGTTTTCAAAAAGAATGGGGTGGGGTGACCCCTGTGGACTTCCTCTATATTTCATTTGATTTGTTTTATTGTCCCATACAAGAATATATATGGTTTATGGGTGGTGATCACGACCGTTTACAAGTTCTTAAACAGGAAGGGGTGGGAGTGAACCCAGGGGACTCGCCTTTTATTTCATTTGATTTTATTTATTGTCCCGTACAAGAATATATATGGTTTTCGGGTGGGGATCTTGACCGATTACAAGTTCTCAAAACCGGATGGGGTGGGGGGTGACACCCAGGGACTCCCCCTATATTTCATTTGACTTGTTTTATTGTCCCATACAAGAATATATATGGTTTAGGGGTGGGGATCTCAACCGTTTACAAGTTCTCAAACAGGAGGGGGTGGGGCAGATCCAGAGGGACTCCCGCTATATTTAATTTGATTTGTTTTATGATCCTGTGATCATTACTGAAAACCGTGTGTGTCTATCACTTACTGTTTTCAAGTTAAAGACATTTGAAAATTAAAAAAAAAAAAATCCCATAGGGTTCTATAGTAAATCCCTCCCTTCTGTTGGCCCCTCAAAATACCCCTAAATAGACCCCAAGAAGAAAAATAAGAAGAACTGAGCAAAACAATAAGTCTCCAAACTTTGTTTGGGAGACTTAATAGCAAGTAATATAATTACGAATTTTGTCATAGTCTGATTTTCTGATGCTGATTATGTAATAGGCCTAGTTTATTATAGTCCGAGTTTGTTGTGGGCCGAGATGAGATACAGGGATACTTTCGATACACTCAGGCTTTTACGTCTTTAATAAACATTGTAAAAATCGTAGTAAGCGTCGAAAAATGTTCATTCATGAAATACTTTAAACACTGTATTTATTTTCTCTTCAACCGGAGGACGGGAGGAAACCCCTGAAACCGGGATTATAGTACTCCCGTTGATATGGATCTCACGCATGTCTGGGGAATACCGATTAAAGCATAACGTAGAAACTGCTGTCTCGTGTAGATGTGTATTGATTTTACTTTCCACGCAGCGTAGATCCGCGAAGTAGTGTTTGTGATAGCCATTTTCAAAATGAAGTTGAATTATTTGAATTATCGATGAATATTCAGTACATTTTAATTCAAACTGTAAGCTAATCAAAATAGAAGTAACTCAAAATTTCAAAAGCATCTTCCTAGAATTAGTTGTCAAACACCAGTACTACATTATCTAGGAATAGAACACACATCCTAAAGTAAGATAGTCTGTCACTTCCGGTTTTAGGCCGATGCCTTAGGAAAGTTTTTGCTATAGCAAACTTTCCAAAAACAATTAATGACAGTGTCAAGTGAAATAATGGGTGATATAGATGATAAATCATATCAAACAGTTTTTGTTTATAAAATCTAAAATAAGTAAACACAAAATGAACGTTATGATAATGATAATAGTGATAACAGTGATGACAGTGAAATTAGTGATAATAGTGATAACAGCGATGACAGTGAAATTAGTGATAAAAGTGTTGATATTATTGATAATCATAATAATGATGCTGATGTATCACAGTATACAGCTTTCTATTATAAAATTTTTAATAAAAGTGTATCTGTGCAAACCTTTGAATAAAAGGAGATGTGGGAGCAATATATGAAAATAAGGCAGCATCAGTAATAAACAACAAAAAGATATCTAGAGGTCAACATATGGTCTTCAACAATAGACAATTGTCTATAGGCATTTAAGAGATTTGTGCACTCCTAAAGCTGGTTTACCCACTCACATTTTGTACCTATATCAAGTTAGGCTATCTGGACTATGTGTTGTTCGCTGTTCTTTCACTAGCAAACTTATTTTTAAACTGAAACGGTCAGTTCAGTCAATGTTCAGATGAAAATGACCATTTATGACTGCAATTTATTTACTCATGTTTGTATATCTGTTTATTGGTTGGTAGCTGTAGACTTGTGCAGTATTTTTGAAGATATCTTTTAATGTTTTATACAATCTGTTAAACTTTAAATCACCTCAAATCTAGAAGAGTTCCTAATAAACTGTTGCAATCAACACTAAAATCCCTCATTAAAACATTTTAATATCAATAAAGTACTAGACTTTGCACAGTGACAGCCTTTATGGGCATACAGTTACAGGGGAGGTAATAACGTTGCTAACGTAAAATGTTATTTTTGTGATGTCAAACTTTGACATATCGGGAAAAGATTCCTTTTTTCGACTGATTTTTATCATTCAGACTGATTTAACTTGAAAACAAGTTCATGGACCCCTCTTTTTTAAAATGAAATTAGGTTTGATTACGTATGAAGGTTATTTGTATCAATTTTTATGAAAAAGTCACTGATGAATTTTTTTTAAATTAGATAAATATACAGCAAAAAATGCCATTTTTTTTCTAAAATCATGAAACTTTGATAAAAATTAATTATTTCCAAAGAATTGATACACAAATTTAGAGCATACTTATGTCAAGAAGATTTTCCAAATGTTTTTACAAAAATCCGCTTTTGTTTTTCTTTTGAAACAAAAAAGTTAGGTATGTCTATCCAAAGGATAAAAATGTCAAAAAAAAAACGAAATTTTGAGTAAATGTCTAACATTTCAACCCCATTTATCTCTTAAAGTAGCACATTAAGGTATATTTTTTATTACATATTTGAATTGACTAGGTGAAAAATAGCTTGTATGCAAATTTTCATAAAAAAATGACTGGGGGATCAAAACTGTATTGTATGCCCTTAAGGCTGCAAAACCAGATAAATAGATAACAAGTACAAGATCATAACTAGAAATAAGTGATCAAGTGATCACAGATATCCCCACTTGCAGAAAAACTCTGACCTGTATTATACCATTGTGTCAAAATCGCAATTCTTTTTATCACATAGGGAACAAATAATTAAATTTTTAAGATAACTAAGGGAATAACTCTTGAACAGTAAATGTCAAAAACATAAAATTTAAAATTAACCCGAATTTTATGATCAATGACAATGAGTTTAAATTTCAAGATCTTATGAAGTGGTTCTTTAATCATCCTCAGGAAGCTAAACAAATATTTTTTTTCAGGTAACTAAGGGCATACTTTCAAACCACTTCTAAACTGTATTGCTTTCCAAAACCAAATATTGATGACAGGTTTTTAACTAAGATCAATTTATTAACCAAATCAATAAAAAAGAGATCTAATTTTCTAGGAACAAGTTCACAAAAGACCGATTGAGCCAAGCAGATGCTTTGTTTTTTTTTATGACTTTCATGATTGCATAAAATTTTGTCTGAATTGATTAAAAAAAAAATAATCCCAATAAGACTTGTTTTGGGTGGTTTTTACTCCTAAATTGTGTTTGTTTTCTTTATTTGCATTTACTTGGTGGTACCTCCAAAATCAAAATGTGGTTGTGGTAGTTTTACTTGGTATTTTGATGATGGATGAATCATTTCTTGGAAAAGCCGTTAATGCATTAACATTCTGAAAACACCTAACATTCCCTAGAGTTCATTGTTACCAGCTTTTACTAAGTACAGCAGTTTTTCATATATTTTTCAGGAAGTAAAATAACTTTTATTCCTGATTCAATTAAATTAAATTCACAGCTTTATTTGCTAATAAAATATTCTAGTTATTGACACCCTGATAGAATTCACCATATTGAAAGCAGAGTTGACTATGTTGCCACTTAGCTAAAAAATATCCCTGATTTATACCAAGGACACTGCTGCACATTTTGAAAGTTATTAAAATATACTCGAACATATGTTTCTCATGTTAGTATACCTTTCTTGTTTACTTTCCTCTATCTGTCGTTTTAGCTGCTCTGGTATGAATTCTTTATTTGCCATCTGTTGACGATATCTACAAATGGAAAATTTTCCACTTAAGTAAGATTAATTTGTGGATTTTTCTGCCAGTCAAAAATTATTTATTTTGAGTAAGGCTAAGGCCACCCTTAACAAATTCTTTGTTTGATGTTGCTAACCCATGCCTTGTAGGGTTGTGTAGGTAGATAGGGATTTTTTTTTTATTTGGCCAACAACACAAGTTACATGTTTTAGACAAGAAAAAGACATTAAAGCATGAACATTTTTTTTTTAAATTTGAAACGATTTGTACCATAAATTTTTTTGGGTGTGGAGGTAGGCAACATGAAACAATTTAAATTTTATTTTAGGCTTAATGAATTTATAACCAAACATGGAATGTCAGGAATCCATATGCTTATGCACTGATATAATATTATGAATCAAAGCTCAAATCTAGATCCTTCAATTCGAGAACAGCAATTAGCATTTAAGATGTTTATATTGATCAGGCACAAACCAAAAGCAACAACACTACCAACCAGGAGACTATTCTTCCTATTTAGATAGTTCTCCCTAGTGATATTCCACAACTCTAACACAATATATTGCTATAAGACTAAATACATACTTTCTCCTCTCTTCGTCTTGTTTAGCTGTCATTTCACTCATTTCTAAGACTTTCCTTAACATTTCCTCTTCTTCCTCATTAGACGATGGGATGGGTAATCTAGTGGCCTCTTGTTGTCTAAATCGTTCAGCCCAAACATTAGTAGTAGGTGCAGGTGGACTTGCAATCTTCACTAATTTAACTGAAGGAAAATAAATACAATGTCAAACTAGAAGGCTGATTTGCCTCATGGTCAAGGCATAGAGAAGTATCAATACAATTGCTAAAACAAATAAATATCAACAAATCAGATAAATGTAGATATAACCAAAACTCTTTACATAAGGCTGCCGTTTCCGACTCCATATTTCAAGCCATCCTTCTGCCTGAACACTTTGATGTATCACAATAACTTTTGTAAAGACAATGAATTACATCATAGTTTACAATCTGTGTTTAGTCCTTGTTTCAGGTGGGGTTTACGTCGATCAATTTTTAGTTTTCAATGCAGTGTATCCTTGATAATTGTTTTTTGTCGTTTTCTTTTTGGTCATGGCGTGTTCAGTTATTTTGACTTATGGGTTTTTTTTTTTACCATATTAGTATTTGTTCTCAATTTTTAGAAAGTTATTTATTAATACAGTGCAGGTTGTATGTACACAATATTTATCAAATACTACTCCACATTTTAGCAACAAGGAGTAGCAGTGTCCTCATAAAAAGTCTTGACAGTGGAAATATTTTTTTTTATACTTTCCATCTTATACAACTTAATAAATAATACATGATGGTCTTGAAGTATAGATTCTAGGTACTGATGTTGTGTATCATCTTAATTATGTGTTATAGTGTTCTTTTTATTTGTCTTTGTATATTTTAACCTTTACTGTTTAGTCTATTTTTGGTAATATCCTTTTGTCGTGGCTCGGTATTTATACGTCAGCTTATTAGAAAATTTGAATGTTAATTGTTTTTTTCTTTGAAGCTGTAACTACTATTTTTTCTCTTTAACTAGAGTATTTAGTATTTTAGAAGACAGAGACTGTCTGGAATCGAGGACTTGGCTTAAATGTTTACATTGGTGTCTTTAAACAATTGTACGTTCTGTAATTTTAAAGTTCGATAGGAAGTCATGAACAGAATCTACAAATATACATTGTTACAAATTGTTTTCGGATGATGTTTAAACATTGACAACAATTTAGATAAATAAATCCAATTACCTGGCTGTGTTGGTTTCTCATACCATTTCATTGTAGGCTGAGGCTGGGAGGATTTCTGTGGTTTTGTTCTTAAATGTTCAAAAATTGTAAATGGATAATATTCTCAACAAAATAAAATACAGTTACATAAATGTTTATGGACATTAAATTATTGCTGTTTTAATTGTCACTGAATACTGAAGATTAAGCTTCCAACTCTACTGTTACAGTAATAATTTTTTCTTCTGTGCTATTTCTACTGGTTTTTTTTCAGTATTAACAAGGGGCAATCAAATCTAAATGTATCAATATTCATATCAAATAATTTGTCTGATATTCCAAAATTGAAAGATCTCCACATAACAAATTTTAAATTTTGTTAATTATCAACACTAGATTCTACAAAATAATATCAATAGCCAAACAAGGAGATGTCTGCATTGGAATGTGTGTTCCAATAAGGTTATTATAAGTTTCAATAAGGTTATTATAACTTCACACAAATACTGAAATACCTACACAAGAAATGTTATGCCAATTATAAGTTTTTTTTATTTTTGTTAAAGGAAAACAACTGAATTCTAGTTTGTCTAGTCACCCATTTCAATCATTTATAACTTTGTTACATATAGTCATAAGTTAATAACTTTACTATTACATTATTTATTTAGAATTCACTATCAAAATGTTGTGATGACTTACTATGAGTTATCTCCCTTATATAAATCCTAACATTTGTCTATTTGTTCAATCTGACAACTTCCTAGAAAACAAGAACTCTGAATGAACTCATTAAAGGATACTCCTCCCCCCACAAAATAAAACCATCAAAAAAACTTTGTTTGCAGGGGTTTAAAATCATTTTAAATTTAAACAGTAATATTGTCATAAAGAAAACAAAAAAACTTTGAACAGAGTGATCAGCAATTCATATCAACAGCTTTCTCATTGGTAAAGACACACAAATGGTCTTTCAAATGGAAGCAATTATGAATGCTACCATTAAAATTTGTTGGCAAGTGGAGTATATACAAGGGCATTGTGATATACTTGTCAACATCATTTTTAGGCAATAAAAGAAGTTCAGATCAAAGAAGAGATACTGCTGACAAAAGTTTGCCCTAACAATTACACTTGTTAATGAGAAAATATGTAGTTAAAAAATTATATTTACCTCTTTTGTTGTATTGCTTTTATTTCTTCTTCATTTCTCTTTCTTTCCATCTCTTGCTGCTTTCTCAAGTGCTCCCTTTTCATACGTGCAAATTCTTCCTCCACAGTATCATCCATCCTTTTTGATGAAGTCTTGTCTACCTTGATCTAAACGAGAAAAGAATCAAAATAGCTAGGTAAGAGTGTTTGCAATTACCAACTTAATAAAATGTTTTGGTAAATACATTAAGCCTGAATTCAATACAAACTTTTAAATTAACCTCAAATTCAAAACATTGTAAAGGGACAAAGAAGTAATCCTTGCCAATCTTTGCAATATTGATGAATTGCTGTTTTCCTAATGTTCAATGGGAAGTATTTCATGTTTACTAAGGAAGATCTTAGCAATGATTGATTATTGGTATTTAACACCCATTTCAGCACTATTGGCTATATCATGGTGGCTAGTTTTTTATTGGTGGAGGAAGACAGTGTCTGGAGAGAACCACCATCATTAGGACAGGAAAACTGAGAGTGTTTGCCAATTAAGATTGGAGTCGAATGCACAACCTAGGTGTCGACAGGCTTGGGATACAGTAGATTAAACCACTCAACCACAAAGTCTAAACTTCATATAGGCACAACAAAGTTTCTGTCCTAATTGAATGAGCAACTGATTAATTATAAAATAATGCTTTGCATCTACAGAACACCTCAACTTCCTAAGAATCATAAACCATGTTATAAAAGTTCATTTCATTCCCTTTCTCCACCACACAGGCAAATTTGTCTCATGTGAATTGAACTGATTTGATGTGAGATTCACATATAAGCTCATTTGAGGTGCAATTCATGTGAATTTCACCTGAGATTCACATGAATTTAAATTCATGTGAAGTTCATGTGAAATTTGCCTGTGTAATTCCCTGGAAAGTAATGGTGGGTTGATGTCTAGACATTATCATTAATTATGTCAAAACCTCCATATTACTTTCCTCTAACCTGATCAGTATTCCTTAATTCCATTAATTCTTTATGTTGTTTCTGTAATTGTTTATTCTTCTCTTTAATTCTTTCCTCTGTCAGCTGTTTCTCTGTGTGTCGTACAGGCTGGACTTTCATCAACTCATTATACTGTTTTAGATGACGCTGTAACAATTCGGCTTTCTTGTCTGATTTATTCACATTCACGGGAGGTGCTGTACCAAAGATAGCACTTTGTAGGATACTAGATTTGACACCCTGTTCTCTGGTTTCCCTATCTCCCGCTGGATTACCCTAAAATTACAATTACAGAAAGAGTGAACACTATTACAAAAATTGATGTTCAAATCTATAAGTAACTTACAAAAAAAAAAGATATACTTTCTGTAAAACATGTGTTTCTGGTATTACCATGATCAGGTATGGACGAAACCAAAAGTATGGAAAGCCAAAAATAATAGATTAGGACTATAAACACCCCAAAAAAGGCCTCAACAAATCAGGCAAACCATTTGAAGTAAACTTTACTCCAGGGATATGCAACCGTATTTTTAGGATAATCACACAACTTGATGAACTGGGTATTAACCCACCAAGCATAAAATAACATGCAAATATCAAGCCAGTCCTGAAATTGCTGGACATAGAATTCAGTTCAAATATTTACACTGATACAGCAATTTAAATTTGATGAAAAATGTCAAATTAAATCATCCAAATGAGTACTTCTTTTGTGAACTCACATCCTGAATTTTAAAACAATCATATGCTTTATCGTTTTATCATTACACCAAACTCGAGATTGTTTTTTATGAATGACTATTACTGGTTGACCAGATGTTAATCGGTGTAAACAACGTCATCGAACAATTGGTTCTTCTTGTGACGTCATAACATAAGCATTGTGACATAGGAGATTAATTGGAAAGTGCACACATTTCAAAGTTATCTATACCTATACCTGTGAATTCAGCAATCTCTATTATGTTTTCATTCTTACAAATAAGCAATGGAATGAATGTTGTATTAATTCATATTTCAAATTCAGTTAAAACCGTCTTATAGTCCACTTCCATTAATTTGCTTAATTAATCTAGGATGCTTGTTTGTTGATCAACAATCTCAATAATAATGATAATAAATACACACAATAGTTTCTAAATTTGCAGTATTATTCAAATTACCATTTGATTAATATTGAGGTCATTGTTAAGAGATCCAAACAAATCTTTGTTAGAACTTGTTATCCGTACAGGGCTCTTTTCTTTTTCAATGTCCCTCTTCAGAGTTTTAATAGCTTCTTCTTTAACTTGCTTTTTCTACAAAGTAAATGAAACATTACAAACATGAAAATTTGGCGATGAGACACCATGCCCAGGTTCCATTTTCTCATTTTCATGTTTAGTAAACACCTGAATCAAAACCCTACTTTGACTTATATTTCAACAAGTTTTCATCATTATGAACATGTGTACTAAGTTTCAAGCTTATTTGAGTTCCATTTCATGGTAAATCATTAAAATTAAATCTTTAAACTGATACTGGACGGTCAAACAGATGCACTGAGTAAAAAACATAATGTCAGAAAGGCAGAAATATCAAAGGCATATTTGTCCAGATTTGGCTATACTTTAGGTCCTTTTTGGTTTATTAGATCTTTAAAGTTTGTATTAGGTTTTAGATTTCCCAATATTTTTCAACTCACAAAAGTACACTAGAAAAATAAATCTCTCACGAAAAAAAGTTTTTTACAGTATAATTTAGAACAACGTCTTTTGGAGACTGTAAACCATTTATTCATTAAGAATAATACTCATACGTCAAACAAGGATTTTCTCTTAAATAAATACAAAGCTTGAAAATCTAAATATTAAACCACTAAGAGATAACTAAGGGCTGTTCCAAAATTTATTGTGGTGGTTTGGATTAAAGAGGAGGGAAATTTATTGTGGTGGTTTGGATTAAAGAGGAGGGGGAGGGGATTGGAGACACTTAAATTAATTGATAGTGGATGGTTGCCTATTTTTTCTTTTTTTAGTATTTTGAAAGAAATTTTCGTTAAATGAAATTATATATCATGAGTGGTTGCCAATGATGATGATGATGAATTGCGGCTTAACGTCCAGCGGCAAATTAATATGCATATTCAGGACGAGAACATGTTAATGTAATATGAATATTAACCCTGCTTTGTACTAGAACAACACACTGAGCCGGATTTTTAACGTGCTAGTTTACGCTAGTTTACAAGGTAACAGTCCCAAGGAAGACATGTCACCTTACCCAGACACATTATTCGGACTCCGAGCCGACTAGTCTTTGCTTTTACTCCTTAATGCCGCGTGCTTAGCTGAGAAACAGCAAATACCAATATTAGTCTTTGGTTTGACCCAGAAACCCACAACCTCCCGCGCTCAAGGTGAACATGCTACCATGAGACCACTGAGGTGGTTGACATCTAACCTGTGTTTAATTCTAGAACAGCCCTAACCTGCTCAACCTTAATTATAAACAATATTTTACTTACAAAACATATATATTAACACATACAGCAATACGATGCAAGGATTGGAAAACAAGTGACAAGCCACTAATACAAATTCCTCTCCTTTTTTATTTTGTTGAACTTGTTCATGTCAAGTTCTGTAAACCAAATTATTTTTGTAAATATTTTTTGGCCTTTAGTCATTTTTTGAAAAAAACTAAGTTTTAAGCTCGAACTTACAATTTCTTTCAATGCCTTCCTTTTTTTCTTTTTATTGTTGGTGGATTCTGTCGTGATCTTTGACCTCTGTAGTTCATTTTTTCTATTTTCTTTTAACTGCATTTCCACTTCTTTCATAATTTCTGCATCATCAATCCTAAAAAATAAAACTTGTATTTAGAACATATATCAACTGATCAGGTTTAATTGCACTTGATACTAAATTTCATTAAAATCAGTGAAATCAAAGACCAGTTGATGAACTCTACAATTTTCTAGAGTTCATGATGTCATTATTGCCACAACAGAAGGGAAAGGTGAAAACTTTATGGTAACTTCATTTTATAAACATTTGATGAGTCTGCATAATTAAAGGTGTAATGTCGACAAAAAGCACATGTATAGATTGATGAGATTTTTTTAACATCAACAATTTTTCCTATTAAACAAGAGTGAACACACTTAAATGTGTCTTGTCTGCTTTACTGGTCATAATTGAATTTATGAAGATTTAAGATTGTTTTTCTTACACATACAACATTAACTTACATTATGAATGACACTATTCCTTGAATGCCGACAAATTTTTACCTGTAATTTGTCTGTAGACCAAGGAATAAAAACTCTGGCCTGAAGGTAAGCATAAACAAGAAACAACAAGTACAATCTGCTTAATCAATTACGACTTACTAATATTTTGAAAGTCTTTGACATTAAGGTCTTACAAAATGGATCATATTAACTTTATACTGATCAATGAAGCATGATAACAATTTCAGGATAGGAAATCAATGTTAGAGATTTACTCTATATAATCATTCTTATTGCCAAATACAGATGACCTTTAATTACCAGTAGATGATAAATAAACTAAGCATAAAAACAACACTGATAATTGAACCATGAAAATGATGTCTAATGTGGTTGTCAGTTGTCTAAAAGATGTCAAATTCTCTCCAAAGTATTAGAAAAAGTATCAGACATATCTAATAGTTCAATACATACCCATTACTCTTCTGACCTGAAGCAGCATTCTTCAAACTGATAAAAAAAAATTTTTTGTTTATTATCTTAAAATTTTATTTCCATCAGGGAATACAACTCTATTTCAATGAATTTTCTAGCTAGTGCAAAAAAAAACTCTTGAAAAAACATACATGTAATTCAATGAAATAACTTGTGTATTTGTGGCTATACTAGTAAAAAAAAAAAACAATTTGAACTAAGGACAGAAACATTTTTTTCTGAGAATATTACTCCATTCTGATAAGTGGAAGAAGCTATTTATACATGCATATATTTCCAATTCAGTCCTATGCATAACTTCTTCACATAGAATGAAACATAATCATGACTCCACAACCATACAACTTTAATACACAGACACAAATGGAACGCACAATTAATTTATTCAAGTTGTGTTTATATTTCTGGAGTATTACAAATTCAAGGAGATCTTCACAAATGTGCATTCTTAGTGGCAATTTGTAAAAGCTTAAAGTCCAGGTTTGCTTACAAATGAATCTTATTTTGAGAAATTTTCATTTCAAGAAAATTATCATTTGATAAATGTCAAAAAATATATTTGATTTAGTTATAATTTCTTTTTCATCACTAAAATCTACCGGTACTCATTTTTTTTTCAAAACTTACAGAAAATACATAGATGGAAAATATGATAGTACTTATGAGGGGGAAGGGGAGGGGGGGGAGGGGGAGGGGTCGGACCTTAATCGTGACGCGGAGATCAGGTGTTTTTAAGCTTGGGATTTCGGGATAGATCCTTTCGGGATCCAGTACTTCTTTTTTCGAATTTCGGTATGTCGGGATTTAAATTTCTTTAAATTCGGGACCTTGGGATTTCATGTTTTTAAGCCCGGGATTTCGGGATCAGGACCCCTCCGTCCCCCCTCACTAATGTTAGCATTTTAATGATAAAATGTGACATCAAATAATGGATATTCTGATTGGTACAAATTGTTCTTTGCATAAGTCAGATTTATTTTTTATGTTAAAAATCAAAATATGTGGCATAAGAACCTTCAAGAGACATCACTTGACAGATACCTTGAGGTGGAAGACCTGGGGTAAGAGAAATAATTCGTACAAATCTTAGTGAAGTCATTGATGTGTTTAATTGAGGTACTCAATTTCAAGCATCTGTGTACACAGACCGTTTACCTTGAATACCGACAATGACAGACGATAACAATACCTATTTGCATCTAAAAAGAAAGTTTTACTTTTATGTAAATTGAAGGATATAGCAGGGTTCGACCAATTTAAAATAAAAATGGCATATCCACCTTTTCCTTTGTGAAGTTTTTCCTGATTTGAGTACACTAACTGTTTTACAAATAAAACAAACAATTAATCGAAAATGTAATTGTAAATAATATTTTAGATCTGATGACCATTATCATTTTAAAAATTGGACTTAATTGTGTGTAGAGTTACTTCCCCTGGTTTTTTATCCATTTAAAAATTATACTCCTATTTTTTTTTTTAACTTCAAAAAAGAAAATTAAAATTATATTATTGAAAAAAAGAGATATTTTCAAGTACTAAATTGATAACATTGATATTCAAAGCTTATTCAATAATCCTATCTTGCAAAAGATCTTAAATATCTACAACCTTCCAAAATGTTTTACAAACAAATTATATAATATGATATTTGCATCAGAATCAATTAGACGCAAAATATTAGGCCTGAATAAACTCGGTAAATTCCAAATAAACGTGACTAAATTTGATTCGGAACATAAAAAGAAAATAATTAGTCAGGCAGCAAATAAAAAAGAAAAAACTGAAAATAAGGCCAATAAGGTTAATAAAAGTAGAGTCTATAAAGTTATACCTAAACCTGTTGATACGGATATCATAAACATTAAAAAGCAGGAAAGTATGCTAAGACAAACAGGGATTGACACAAAAATAGTAAAACAATTGGGTAAAGCTGGATATCTTTTAGTTACCCTAGCTGATAAACACTCACAACTTAAGTCTATCCCTTTATACGATCAAGGTCAAGAATATGATTTATTGCCATATAAGCCTAACCCTAAATTTTGTACCAAATGCGCAAGTTTAGGTCATTATGCCAAACAATGCAAAAAATCAGCCAATACATGTATAGGATGTGCAGGTAAACATGCCACCAAAAACTGCAATAATAAAATAACAAAATGTAACAACTGTGGCGGTAACCACCAGGCAATAGATAAATCATGCCCTCAATACATATTTCAAAAACAAGTATTGGAAAATATGTACTGTAATAAAATGTCATTTGAACAAGCTAAACAAAAGGCACAACAAAAAGGTGAAACCATAACTAAATTAATTAGCTCTCCAGTGTCGAAAGGTGAAACCAGAACTAAATTAATTAGATCTCAAATTGTATCACCTGGTAAATCATACGCTGACAGTGTTAAATCAAAAGTAATTAATAATGACACCTTTATAATTAACGAAAATGAAGCCAATGTGTCACAGGTAGATAATCCAGAAATAAACATAGATGTAATTACTGACAATGAGACTGTGAACATACAAATAGAAGATCAAACACCCAGTATTCCTAATAAAGATAGAAAAAATATTTGAGATATACGCAAAAATATAATTAAACCACCAAGCAAAGACGTAAATGATCTAAAAAACTGGGAAACACTAATTACAGGAATACGGAATATTGCGACCCAACAAGGTGATGCCTCTGTTACCATCATGCAGCTATTTGTTACCTTTCTAAAAAATCAATTCAGTACGGACATACTGATCGACGTAAATAATTAAAGAAATAATAAACAATAAGTAATTAAAACAATTAATTAACTGTAATGGGGTTACACATTTTACAGTGGAATGCGCGCTCACTTTATGCGAACGCAAATTCCCTTAAACATTATTTAGACACACATAATAACCCAGATATTATTTGTGTACAAGAAACTCACTATAAAGACAATAGGTATGTAAAACTACAGGGCTACCATCCACCCATCATCCGAAATAGAAAAATACCGATTCAACCTAAAGGTAAAAATAAAAAGAGAACTCATATAGGAGGAGGAGTAGCCATTTATGTTTCGATTCAAGTTAATTTCTCACAACTAAATTTTGATACTGATAACATAGAGGTAGTAGGCGTATCTGTAAACTGTCAAAATAATAAGATCAATATAGTTAATGTGTATAGACCCCCAATCAAGATATTAAATTTAATGACTATCAACAAGTAATGCATAATCTAACAGATAATATAGTGCTACTTGGAGATTTTAATAGTAGATCCTCGTTGTGGGGGTCTAACACAACAGATAGCAATGGCAACATTATAGAAAAGGTCATAGACCAAAATAACATGATAATTTTAAACGACGGTACCGATACATTTCAAACCGTCGGAGGTGACCGAACACATATAGATCTAACGTTGGTCTCCGCCTCACTAGCCAATGACAGCCAATGGTCAGTTTTAGACGATAAACTAGGTTCAGATCACTTCCCAGTACTCACTGTTTTAAATGCAAAACCGGTTAAAAATAAAGTTTGCACTCCACAAAGATGGATTTACGATAAAGCCGATTGGCACAGGTTCACTACTCTTTGTAACGAAATAAATGTAGATAATATACACCATGACGATATTGAAATTTTCAACCAAAATCTATGCGAAGTTGTTACTAAAATCGCAGACGAAACAATCCCGAAAACTAGTGGTACAGTTCATGCAAGAAAAAACTGTCCCTGGTGGAACGATGATTGTACAAATGCAAAAAAAAATAAGCGTCATAAACACAGAGTGTATGATAAAACAAAATCAGAACAAAATCATGAACTATATAAAACAGCAGTTAAAGAGTTTAAACGTATCTCTGATAAAGCAAAAACCGAGTACTGGCAAAATTTCTGTGACAAACTTAATTATAAAACTAATGTAAAAACAGTCTGGAACACGGTTAAAGGTCTCAAGGGAGCAAAAACGTCCACCCTACCGACACTTATTTCTGACTCCAAGCAAGCGGTATCAAATGTAGATAAGGCTAACATGCTAGCCGGAACTTTTGCCGAAGCTTCCAGTGATAATAATTTAGACCCCACGTTCAGAACACATAAATTAAAAACTGAAATAGAAAATCCAATTAATAGGGATGACGACGAACAACACAACAGGTCAAAGTTTAATATACCATTCAACAAAAACGAGCTATATAAGGTGCTTAAGACCAAGAAGACAACAGCGCCCAGTGATGACCGTATAACATAGGAAATGTTCAAACATATGCCTGATAGTATGATCGATATTGTGTTGCAATTAATCAATAAAGTGTGGGTAACTGGTCAACTACCACAGCTGGAAACATGCAAATGTAATCCCTATACTAAAACCTATTAAGTTTGACCCTAAATCATACAGACCTATTTCTCTTACATCAAATTTTTGCAAACTAATGGAAAGCATGGTCAATGTTAGGCTTAAATATCTATTAACAGAAAAAAATATTATAAAAGAAACACAAAGTGGGTTTCGTGAAGGTCGCTCTACAATTGACCACTTATTGGGTCTCGACACCGACATTAAAAAAGCCAAAGTACGTAAACAATTCCTACTAGCCGTATTTCTCTATATTGAAAAAGCATTTGATCTAGTATGGCGTTATGGTTTATTAAAAAAGTGTAAAGATTATGGTATAAATGGTAGGTTATTTAACTTCATAAAAGACTTCTTGCAAGATAGAAAAATACAAGTAAAAGTAAATCAAGACGCCTCAGACGATTACGATCTCATCAATGGTATTCCGCAAGGTAGTGTCATCAGCCCCACATTATTTAATATCATGATAAATGATTTAGTAGGTCTGGCTAAAAAACCCGCAGTAATGTCACAATTTGCCGATGACAGTGCCATGTGGTATAGAGGTGGAAATATTAAATATCTTACTAATAAAATGCAAGAAACACTTAATAACATTAGTGCATGGTCTAAAAAGTGGGGTTTTAAAATCTCTATAACAAAAACAGTAGGAGTTATA